CCTGTAGTAACTGCTGAAAATATTGTCTAAGTTTGGAGCGGCTGTAAGAGTGTGCCTAGCTATCAACAAGAAGAGCAAATAGTTCAGCTGTTTTCAGCATTAATATAATTCAGTGTGAAGTCATTACTCCTTCTGTTAGGGAAAAAATAGCATTCATCATTGTAATGGGAACAGCAAGGTACCTTCTTGCTAGGGATGCAGTTCTTCACTAAGTTTCTTTTTGAAGGTAATGACAAGCACTCAGCAATTTAAGAATCAGGAAAATAAGACTCTGACTGTGAATAGAGGGTCAGCTGCTGTCCTCGCCTTTTCGCCTTGTCTTTTACTCGTTTTGTATTTTGTATTTTGAAATGGTCATATGACTGATCAAATAAATAAATTATTATTATCACTCAGCAATTTTCTTCCTTTTGTAAGAGGGTCTTCAAAAACTACGTAGCCTTCAAGAGCTATTCACAATTTAAGTCTTACTTTACACAAAATTCACACATGGTTGTTTTGTAGAAAAACATAATACTTCAACACAGAAAAAGTAATTGCTGTTTTGTATGCAGATAACGTGTAGATATTGTGCAGAATGAATCCCGTTACAGCATTTTGTGTGCAGAAAAATTGTGTTGAAATACTAGTTCCTGCGCAGAAAATGATGTTTCCTACTACAAAACAACTATGTGCAAATTTTGTGCAAAGCACCGAACCGAGAAGATTCTCATCCCTCCAAGATTTTCCTTGACAGTCTTTCCACTCAAAAAACGCATTTTCTTCCATGTCTAAGCCTTTTTCTAATATTTTTCCATCTATATTTCTAATACAAGTAAGATATTCCATATGGATTTCAACTTGCAGATATTTCAATTGTCAGATATGGTTTTAAATGTGGCTCGGACACCTCTCAGAAAACCATACAGTCCAAATCTTGAGTCTGTGCACGTTTTATTGCAACAACCATGACCTGTCTAGATAGTGCCTTAAATCATCCTCTCTAGACTATGACATCCAAAGTGGGAATTATTTTTGGCTGCAAGATGTAGTGCAAATTAGTCGCTGAATACAGTCAAGGGTTCCCCCATATGGTGTCTTTTGCCAAGCAGGAAGGTTCATCATTTGTATCTGTTTCTCCAGTCAACAATTTGTAGAAATAATACTCCCAGAGAAATAGAATTCCATGACTAGAGCCCCCAAACAATTTCTTGGTTGAATTTGGTCATCTGTTTTCCACCATCTAGATCAGGCATGGGCAGACTTCAGCTGTTTTGGACTTTAACTCCCACAATTCCTAACAGCCGGTAAGGTGGCTGGAATTTCTACATTGGGACGGGAGCATGAGTCTAGAGCAGCGATTCTCAACCTGTGGGTCCCCAGGTGTTTTGGCCTACAACTCCCAGAAATCCCAACCAGTTTACCAGCTGTTAGGATTTCTGGGAGTTGAAGGCCAAAACATCTGGGCACCCACAGGTTGAGGACCACTGGTTTAGAGCCTGACTTATCTCCCAGCCCTCTCCCTATTGTGCTCCATTGAATAAAACATGACAAGGTTTTTCTGCTGTTTTTGGAAGGCTTCCCAAGTGGTGATTCAGCACAAAGTGTTTTCCAAAGGTCCTCCTGCTCTATAAGTCCACTCTCAAAAATGAAAAATTCGAACTAGGAATCACTTTGGCTCTAAAATCAGACTTCCCACCTTCCAAGTATTGAGAACTATATTTCCCATCATCCCTGGCAATGTGTCTAGGGCTAAAACATTTGTTTGTAGGCAACTGTTTTAAGATGCAAGGTTGCAAAATTTACAGAAATTCTTTTTCAATCCAACAACACAAGCTCCACTGCAAGGCGCTCCCAACTGAATGAGACCACTGAATTTGTCTCATTCAATCAGAAATCCTATTTCTTTTGTGCAGTTTTAGCTAGGAAGGATTTGATTTCGGCAAACAGGAAATCCAGCTTTATGGTATTTGGCTCCCTCTTGTGCTATCTCTTTTAACTACACTTAAACTTTTCAGAGGTTTTTAAAGAGATGAGATGGCCGCTTCTCAAGAGCATTTTAGCAGTGGATTCTTGAATGTCCTTTGCTGTCCTTCTGATTTTATGATTCTGTAATCCTTTGCCAACTGTGTTTGCCAACTATTAAATGCTTCCATTTATCTGCAATATCTTTAAAGATATTCCCCACCAAAACTCATCAAACAATAAAAGGTTTGGATCAGAAATACTGGGATTACTGTACTGTGAACCTTAGTGAAAAGTGGTATAAGAGTATCAAAAGGTACATACAGTAATGGTTTTGATTTTTGGATGAGAAGTTTATATCTAGCCACAAATTTTAAAGACAAGGTTAAAAACATAATAGGCTATCAAGGTTTACAGAAAACGGTTTAAAACAGGTATATCTGCAACTGCTTTTAGCTTCTAGCTTCATGGATGCTTTCTACATTTTCACACTGATGTTCTAGATCAGGGGTCCTCAAACTAAGGCCCGAGGGCCGGATGCGGCCCACCAAGGTCATTTACCCGGCCCTTGCTCAGGGTCAACCTAAGTCTGAAACGACTTGAAAGCACACAACAATCCTATCTCGTCAGCCAAAAGCAGGCCCACACTTCCCATTGAAATACTCATAAGTTTATATTTGTTAAAATTGTTCTTCATTTTAATTATTGTATTGTTTTTAAGTGTTTTTTGCACTACAAATAAGATATGTGCAGTGTGCATAGGAATTCATTCGTGCTTTTTAAAAAATATACTCCGGCCCTCCAACAGTTTGAGGGACTGTGACCTGGCCCTCTGTTTAAAAAGTTTGAGGACCCCTGTTTTAGATAATAACAAACAGTGAATTTGTTCTAAAGGTTGGTATAAAGCAAGAGAAGGAGAGAACCAGACTTTTGGGTCTCTGGGGTGGCTCCTCTCAAGATTGAGGATTTAAGGTTTAAATGAAAGTCTATAAGCCTATAAATTACAATGTCAGTATCAACTATGACTAACAACTAGAATTCAGAAGTGAAGACACATTTCAGATCTGATATGCTCCATTCCTTTCCTAAGAAAAAATAGATAAAACCCAGTAAAAAGCCAAGGAAACACCAGAAGAGTGGCATGTTTGCTAACATTTGTAAAATAACACTTTGTAGGTTTCATCAATGGCCAGGTTCATACAGTTAATATTTACATAATACTATGTAACACAATTTTTGTTCCTGGGTTGTAAATGTCATTTCCTAATTGGTTCTATCATACAAACATGGAAAAGGTTCATTAAACTGCAAAAACATTGTTTTTCAATTAATAGCTCACAGAGTCTCAATTCAACGTATTTTGTGGCAACCACAAAAGCAAAGTCTCTGGAGTATAACAACTTCCATCAATGTAAGTACAACAATTAAACAGGAAATAACACTTTCAAACCAGGAACAGAAAATCTTTCAATTTTTGTTACATAATGTAATGCAGTGGAAAGAGATTGTAGAGTTTGGTTTGGGTTTTTGAGAGTGAGAATTGTCCGAAATCCACACCCCTCTTTGGGTCTCCATTCCCTGGACTGATGTACTGGCCGAACCCCCTCTTGTAGGCCTTGGAGAAGACTGATGATGGGACATATAATTCATCTCTTGCTTGAAAAAAATAGCCTCATTTCCCGGCAGAATGAGAATGTCTCTTCCCAAGTCAATGAAAAAGCTTTTGCTTCCCAATGGTGTTTTCTGTTGGAGATAATAATCCTGTGAATTCATGTGACTCCTCTCTGCCAAATTTTTTTAGGAGTGCAAGACAAAGTAAATCTATATCCACTCAAGATGCATTTTCATCATTTATCATCATTTAATATTCTAAGAGCCTGACTTAAAGAACTGGGAGCCAGATGGTTATCCAACATTTCAACAATCTCTCCCAAAATGACTTATCTGCAATGTTCCTTTGTGCCAATTTCATCTCCTTCAAAATGTATTTCACATGTAGCTTAGAATTCAGAAGGGAAGAAAGAGGAGCAACTGACTCCCTTGGAGAGGTACTAGATTTTGCCAGAGGGCACACTCCTTGCTAATCCCATTGTCTAAAAAGCATTACCTAAACACAAATATAAATTCACCATCTGGAAGGCAACGTTAGAGAAAAATTCAAGAGATGCTCAGGCATGTCTGACTTGAAAGTAAATTTCCTGAAAATTGAGAAAAGCCCTAGAACAGCTTTATTATCATTATATAACAATATACAATTGAAAAAGGAGGATAAAGAAGCGATAACGAACTTATTAACAATAGCAAGACTGCTTATAGCAAGGAATTGGAAAAAAGAAATAAATATACAAATAGAGGAGTGGTACAAGGAAGCATGGAAACTGGCAATAAATGATAAGCTTACATGTATATTAAAAGTTTAAAAAGGTATATGGAAACAAAGTGATTTTGATGCTGTATAGGGAATTTTTTTTGTAAATGGTTTAAAAAACAAAGAAGGAAAGTTACCGTCACAAGAAGAATTGAAATTTTGGATAGACGATATTTAAAAGTTGTGGCTTGATATGGGGGGAGGGGAGCACAGTGGTGGGAAAAAAAGGGGGGGAATGCTTAAGCAGAATAATATTATATGTTAAAGAGTGTGTTGAATAATATGTAACTGTTATAACCAAACACATAACAAATGTAATAACTATGATAAAACAATAAAAAATATTTTTTTAAAAAAGTGAATTTCCTTGCAGACAACTGCCCTGTATCATGTTGTATTTGAGCCTAACGGTGCATTATCATTCCTTATACCAATTTCGCATATGCATCTCCATGACCATTCCTTTCCTCCACTTGCCCCCTTCCAATGAATTCAGATGTAGAAAAAAGGTGCCATGGTTTGACCACATGCCTCTAGAGAACAGGACTGATTCCCCACTTAACCAAAGAAACCCACTGGGAGATCTTGGACAAGTCACATATTCTCACCCTCAGAAAACCATGCGATAGGGTCACCATTGGAAACCACTTGGAAGGCAGACAACAACCAAAAAACAAAAGGTCCATGGTAAAAATTACACATGTCTACTTTTATTTACTGCCTTTTCACAGACAATAGTTACTGTAAAATTAGAAATTTAAAACTAGTAAAAAACATTAACATATAAAGACATGGCTAATCCAGAGGAACTACCAAGATATTATCAAGTTATCTATCTGTCTACCCACCCTCCCTTATTACTCTCATTATCCATCCTTGTAATAAGTTTTCATTGTAAATTAATATTTTAAAAGAAGACTCTAGCTGCCTACACACTTTTCCCTGTGATATCTCACTGCATAAAACAGAGCAATGGAAGCTGCCGGTGTAAAAAGCACACAATTACACAAGAATATGTTAAGGATATGTTAATTTTAAACTAAAAACAACATTGCTTCACAAATATGCTAGTTTTATTAAAAATGCTAATATACTAAAATGGAGGTAACAAAAGGAAAGTATGTGATTTTTAAAAGATTTATGTTCTGTGGGAAGCTGTGACACTTCCATCATTTCTTCTAACTACCTCTTACTTGTTCTGATCCAACATGGTTAACTAAATGAATTTCAGAGTCAAGCTATGTGTAGTTACATTGATAAACCAAAAAGAAATAAGACTCTCAAAACAAGTTCTCCAAGTAGCTCAAGCATAACACATTCAAGGCTTCTGCGAATGAAGGATGGGGAACAGGGATGGAAAAATAAACAGTGATGCCAATTACACCCACAGATTTAGAAGAGAAAGATGGTATTTGGGGCAATAGCTCTGTGCCAGATCCCTGGGATCAAAGTAACGGCAAACTATTTCCAGGGTTCTTTTTGAGAATTCCTGAACATTTTCTTCATCTCTTGTGTAAATTCAAAAACATCTGAAGAAGAGCCTATAATATCTATGTGACTTGAATACTCTGCAACTAGGACATTTGGATATTGTGTGCAGACCACGTTGAGTGCCTGCACACGTTTCTGTCTCTCTGTTTTGGTGGAGCCTTTCAGAGGCAATCTTTCTTTGCGTAAAGAGCTATGCAGTTCTGCTGACAAACTTTCAAGTCTATCTTTGGCACGTTCTAATTGGCTGGCACTTGCCTTTGGGGTCTTTTTTCTCAGATATATGGTGGTAATTTCATCGCCCACAGATGCGTTACCAACAACATCACATTGTTCTAGATTCTTCTGATATAACTTGTTTCTGAATTTTTTCATGTAGTGATAAATATCAGTATCAAGGGAAACACTCAGTTCATCTTCACTTGCATCTTGACCCAAATCATTTCTTGGCTCCAAGGACTTTGTCGGACTAGTACTTAATCTAGACTTTGTCTGACTAGTACTTGCCATATGATCTGGCACTTTCTTTTTTACATTCTTGTGTTGTTCAGAACAGGAATGCTTTATTCTTGGTAACAACATTTTCTGAAGTGCACTGATGGCACAAAATGGCCCCTGCACCTTTATCTGTCCATTCGGGTGTAAAGGCCCAAAACTGAGTTTTGGAAGATTCTTCTTCAAGTCTTCTATCAGATCTTCTAAACTGCATTTTGCTCTCAAAGGTGCCAACCCAAGAGTGCATGACACACAAGTAAAAACCTAAAGAAACAAAAAGAGAGTTGTGAATCTTTTTTAATTTCTGTTATAATAATTCCCATTTTGGGAGAAAGATGGGAAATCAAATAAATAAATAGTTAATTAGTGTGTTTTTAAACAAGTTGACTAGCTTACAAGTCCAAATATGTTTAATATTTACTGATATTTGTCATTGTCTTTCCTCACTTCCTCAGAGGATTTTGCTCTCTGAAATGTTGCTCTAAAACCTCAACCATTTACTACTTCTTTCTTCTGATGTACAGAGCACCACCTACATTGTTTTGTCAAAGGCTTTCATGGCTGGAATCACTGGGTTGTTGTAGGTTTCTTCGGGCTATATGGCCATGTTCTAGAGGCATTCTCTCCTGACATTTCGCCTGCATGTATGGCAAGCATCCTCAAAGGTAGTGAGGTCTGTTGGAACTAGGAAAGTGGGTTTATATATCTGTGGAATGACCATGGTGGGACAAAGAACTCTTGTATGTTAGAGCTAGGTGTGAATGTTTCAACTGACCACCTTGATTAGCATTTGATGGCCTGGCAGTGCCTGGGGCAATCTTTTGTTGAGAGGTGATTAGAGGTCCTTGTTTGTTTCCTCTCTGTTGTTTTGCTGTTGTAATTTTAGAGTTTTTTTAATACTGGTAGCCAAATTTTGTTCATTTTCATGGTTTCCTCCTTTTTGTTGAAATTGTCCACATGCTTAGGTATTTCAATGGCTTCTCTGTGTAGTCTGACATGGTGGTTGTGAGAGTGGCCCAGCATTTCTGTGTTCTCAAATAAAATGCTGTGTTAGGTTGGACAGGTTCCAACAGACCTCACTACCTCTGAGGATGCTTGCCATAGATGCAGGCGAAACGTCAGGAGAGAATGCCTCTAGAACATGGCCATATAGCCCGAAAAAACCTACAACCCATCACCTACATTGTTAAAAAATATTAATGCTGAACATGTGTTGGACATAGACAAATATAGAATGCCGCATTAAAAATCAGCAGAGAAGCACTGGATGATGTGAGCTCCAGTCAGCAAAGATTTATACTACAATTAATTTGTCATTTTTGTGAGTTATCTCCATATATATATATATATATATATATATATATATATATCTCAGAAGAAGAAGAAGAAATTATTTCTGTCCTCTTGACAAAAAGTGTTACTTGGCAGAACTTGAAAGAAATTGAATTTTTGGATTACAATTTACAAAATCCCAGAGTTAGCTAACTGGAGAACTCCAGAAACTGTTGCCCATGTGACTTCCTGCTACTTTGTGAGAAATGTCACTAAAGAGGTCAAAGCCACTCTTAGGGCAGCACAAGCGGATCCAAAACCAAAACACACAGTTGCTTTTACTTACGCTTTCTCCATACAGTGACACTTTCAAGGGATAACCCTGATGCAGCCTCTTGTCCTCCAAATGGTGTTCATTTTTCAGAACATTCTCTGCAACTGAGAGGAAATTCAGATTATGACATAGACAACAGCAATGCATTGCTTCCAATTCAAGAGGCTGAATATCCCTTTTCCTTTATTTCCCAACTATTTTCCTCCCACTTCTCAATATTGTCTTCTGATATTTTATGCAGTGCAAAAAATGTGGAGGAGAAGTAGACAGGAAGCTTTCTCTCAACAAACTTAATTGGCAGCAATTCTACTCTCCTAAGGTTGCAAGTTTCTCACCTGCTGGGTTGCAGTATATTCTATTATAAAACACCCACACAAATGCTGTCCTTTAAAGTTTAAATGTCGGACAAATGTCTGAAAAACCTACAAACTGCAAAAGGTTTTCAACCAGAAGCTGTTACATCAGTGTATCCAATATGTAGGAGTCAACCACAGAGTTCTCCTTTATGATTAGCAATCCAAAATTCAATTTCATTCCCTTGATATTACCTCCTTTATCTTCAAATGTTATGTATGCCACTCCTTGGGTTGATGTGGGATAGACGATATCCTCCACGTCGCCACCTTTATTCTTTTGCTTTTGAAAATGAATAATTAGTATGTCAACCATTATGTCAGTGTTTAGAAGGCCATCTGGAATACCGTAGACCACAATTGTTCTTTCTAGTTTGGCAGCTTGTGCAGTAGCCTGTGGAGAAGCAAATGGGATGCTGAAAGCACAAGTTAAGCCAGCAGATGACTTGCCATATCTGCTCTCTTCCCTTAAGGGACAATCTGCCTCATCTGGATACACACTCTGCTCAGGCTGCACAAAAACCCTATGCAGATTATTCACAGAAATTTTGGATTCCCTCTGAAAGGGAAAAGGATCCTGCTTTATCACCAGTGAATTTAACAAACTATCTGATATGGTTGAGAAAACATTGTATGTTGCTAAGACTTTGAGCAGAATAGATTAGCTAGCTGCCATTGCCATAATCATCACTATACATTTTAGAGTACAACAGATAAAAAATATATAGACATATGTTTAAAAACATATAGACATAAGATTAAAGCACACATCAAAATCATTCGTACCAATAAAATATCAATGTGTAATTCATTGTTCAAAACTGACTTGGTATTCTATCGATATGTTATATAATGAGCAAGGCCATTCTGTTTTGTTTTCTTTTACATTTTATTTCGTTCATACACTTATATTCTGCTTATCTTTCAAGAAATTCAGGACTCATACATACTTCTCTTCTTCTAGGAGTTATAGTGCTATATCCACCTTAATTGCCATGGTTCCATTCTACTGAATCCTAAGTTTTGTGTTTAGTGGGAGATACTGCGGCAATGATTCCCTAACTCTTCCTGGTGTTTTGAACTTCAATTTCTAAAAGCCTCAACTGCCTCGGCCAATGATTAGGGATTCTGGGAATTGAAGTACAAAAGAGAGTCCAGACCAGAGTTTGAGGAACACTACTAGGGAATGTCTCTGGCTGCCAACTACAAATGCCCCTCCTGAAACAACAAATCCTAGGATAACATAGGGTATAAATATGGAATATAGTGCTATCCTTGTATAGTATGAATATCCCCCAAAATGTGTGTGTGTGTATATACACAAACATACATACACACACATCATAATCCTATGAAAAATAGTCTATTGAGAGGGTGATTGTCCTTTGCCAAATGAGTAAGGACCATAACAACAATATAATAACATAATAACAGTAACAACAACACCATTCTAGAGACGGAAGAGACCCCAAAGGCCATCCAGTCCAACCCATTTCTGCCATAAAGTAAAGCACCACACAATCCCTCCTGACAGATGGCCATCTGACCTCTGATAAATACTAATAATCATACCATAATAATAATAACAACAACAACAATACGATGCTTGATATGTATGAGCTTTCCTACTATGCAGGAAGGCACCATATGATCCCTCCTGACAGACAGCCATCCAACCTCTGCCAAATAATAAATTTTTAAAAACCATATTCTCTAGTTCGAAGGCTGCCCTGAGTCCCCCCTCGGGGGCGAGAAGGGAGGGGTACAAGTATATGAAATAAATAAATAAAATTAGTCTATGTTGAACACTCAGTTTACTTTCCCAACACACTACATTGCATCACAGTGGACGGCAGCCCTAGCCTGCCAAATTAAATTAAAAGCTTCTTATCCACTTGTTCATCCTAGTGAAATCTTGAATTGCATCTCTGCCAAGTGTAGTACAGTTCCCCCCACCCCCACCCCAATTGCAAGGATTTTTCATCCACAGATTCTAACATCCACAGTTTAGAAATATTCCTTCCATTGCAAAATAATAATAATAATCCAAAACAAAACAATGACTACCCTTCTATACTGGCCATATAATGTAGTTCAGAGTCGACTCAAGGCCATGATGGCTACAAAATGCACCCCATCATTGTGTACTGTAACACGCACCAAGGGGGATACAGCACTTTTTATAAAGCCCCAGAAAAATCTGAATTCTGACAAAAAATCTAATCACCATCCTGCCCTCAAACTGGTTCCAGGCATGGCATTATGATCAACTCAGTGCAAAACCGGTTCCTTTGGAACTGGTTTCATGCTGGATTATAGTGTCAGTACAGAAGTGCCCTGACTTTGCCTTGTCATACAAGGGACACTATCGGGCTTGAGCATACATGGAGTGGCGGGAACCAAACTTCTTTATATGTTCTTTATAGTCCATGGTTTCTATTTGCTGTTATGCTTTTTCAATCAAGCATTTGTTGTCATTCCTAAGGACTAGCTTTGGACTAAAACCTAAAGCAAATATCCGCCTCACAGACATCATATCCAGAGTTACGTAATTTTTTCATGAGGCTGTTATTTTGTCTAATTTCTATTAAAGACAGTAGCAGGGGGAAATGAAAAGAAAGTGTATTCATTGTCCTCATTTCTTGTGTAGCTAAAAAACATAATAGTTTACAGCACACATATACTTAGGATATCCACCTCTCCTCAGAGAATGTCTCCAGGACAGAAGGAATGCCACAGCCTAGCAATCCATTAGCAAGTAGAAAGTGCTTTGGGTCACCAGCAAGAATGCTTCTCAGAGTTGAGTAACCAACTTTGTTACTTAGTGGTAAACTCTGGCCATCAGGAGTGACTTATGCCACTAGGGATCACGGGCAGTATTTTGTACATAATTTTGTGTGACAGCGCAGAAGCTTTCGAGGGAAGAAATCATCAATAACTGCTGACATCTTGCAGTCTAAGTCAGTTTTGTACCACATCCCTGTACGAGGCACTTAATGTCCATCTCTGGGACCTTGGCTTCAGAAAGGAGACAGGCCAGTGCCGTAATGTTAAAAACCCTCAAGGCTTGCTCTGGGAATATTTTTATTTTTGAAAAAAACTGATGAGGAATCAGAACTGTGCCAACAATCACCATTTCAGAGAATGAAGAAACAATCTCAAGGCGACAGCTCAGCCACCCCATCCACACTGTTAACCTAAGATGACAAAAGGCCTATTTTTAACTGGCTTCCAGGCCTGGAGTGCTGTAAGTGTTTGTTTATGAAATGATCATTGCCCTTAGTAGATGATGTCCATGGTGCCTAAAACAGTGCAGTGCAGACTGACTCTTTTTTTAGTGCATTTGGAAGAGACTATCATAGCCTCAAAGCTATGGGAGAAAAGTACAGAAATACTGCTGTGGTCCAATAAAAATAGAGGGGGGGGGGTGTTAAACTGCATTTTATTTTGTCTTATGACAATCAAAACGTAAGTAGAACAGCAAAAAAGACAAAAAAAACCCAATACCACCAAATGGAAGAAACGATTACACAACTTGTTTAATACAAACAGATACCATTGAGCCCCTAAGGCCCCTTCTACACTGCCCTGCCCTATATCCCAAGATCTGATCCCATATTATCTGTATATCCCAGATGATCTGACAGTGGAGGCTTATATAATCCAATTCAGATCCTGGTATATACAATAGTGTAGAAGGGGCCTAAGTCTCAATTCTGACTCAGACAATTCGTTCTATCATGGACCGCAGGTAGTGCTGGGATGATGATGGCTATTCTTATCATTATTATCATTCTACACTTTGCCAAACTTTGAATTACCCATTTTTAAAGTATCTACAATCTTACTGGTGGAGAATCCTCAAAATTGTAGCTCAGAAAAGGATATCCCTCCTACTCCCCAAATCCAACAGCTGTGCATCCAGAATCTTGAATGGCCTACACAAGGGCTTTAGGGGTGTCTCTACACTGTCGAATGGATGCAGTTTAACATCACTTTAACGACCCTGGCTCAATGTTATGGGATCCTGGGAATGAAGTTTTACAAGGTCTTTAGCCCTCTCTGCCAAAGGCTGCTGGTTTTTGTTGTTGTTGTTTTGTCGTGTCAGGAGTGACTTGAGAAACTGCAAGTCGCTTCTGGTGCGAGAGACTTGGCTGTCTGCAAGGACGTTGCCATGGGGACGCCCGGATGATTTGATGTTTTTTTTTTATCAGCCTTGTGGGAGGCTTCTCTCATGTCCCCGCATGAGAGAGCTGGAGCTGATACAGGGAGCTCATCCACCTCTCCCCCGGATTTGAACCTGTGACCTGTCGGTCTTCAGTCCTGCCAGCACAGGGGTTTAACCCTACTGGTGCCTCACCAAACTACAAAACCAGAGCCCTTCCATATAGGCATATAATCCAGAATATTAAGACAGATAATCCACATTATCTGCTTTGAACTGGATTATCTGAGTCCACACTGCCATATAATCCAGTTCAAAACAGATAATGTGGACTTTATACAGCTGTGTGGAAAGGGCCCCACAGAATAGGTTGCTGCAGCCATCAGCCAGAGAGCAGTAGAGCGAAGTAAGAAGGAATCAGATTCTGGGCACAGCTCTGTCCGTTTTATTTCTTTGCCTAGCTGCAGCAGCTTTCACTTTTGCACGTGTACACACATAGTACATGTTATTTACATAACGTGGCAGCTGGGAAGATTACCATTCACCCATCCTATGCATTCCACTCCTAACTAGAAAGATGTGAACTGGTTCTTATGCTGCATAGGGGTGTGTGTGTGCATGTGTGGCCTAAATTTATGAGATTGTGGCAGTGTTCATTTTTCAAGGAATTTCGCCTTCTCTGCCAGAGAGTGCGGGTGCCTCACCAAATTACACCTCCCATGATTCCCTAACATTGAGCCATGGAAGGTCAAGCAGTGTCAAACTGCATTCATTCTGCAGTCATAGAATCATAGAATCAAAGAGTTGAAAGAGACCTCATGGGCCATCCAGTCCAACCCCCTGCCAAGAAGCAGGAATGTTGCATTCAAATCACCCCTGACAGATGGCCATCCAGCCTGTTTAAAAGCTTCCAAAGGAGCCTCCCCCACACTCTGTGGCAGAGAGTTCCACTGCTGAACGACTCTCACAGTCAGGAAGTTCTTCCTCATGTTCAGATGGAATCTCCTCTCTTGTAGTTTGAAGCCATTGTTCCGCGTCCTAGTCTCCAGGGAAGCAGGAAACAAGCTTGCTCCCTCCTCCCTGAAGATACACACTTCTCAGGCTGTATGACACTGCTCTATATCCCAGGATCTCATCCCAGATTATTGGCTTTGAACATCCCAGTCTGCAACCATCTGCAGGTTGCCTCAGGGTCCTTCCATACAGCCCTGTTTCCCAGAATATCAAGGGAGAAAATCCCAAATTATACAAGTGTAGATTCAGATAACCCAGGGCCCTTCCACACAGCCATATAATCCAGAATATCAAGGCAGAATAACCCCCAATATCTGCTTTGAACTGGAATATCTGAGCCCACACTGCCATATATCCCTGTTCAAAACAGACAATGTGAGATTTTATTCAGCTGTGTGGAACAGGCCCCAGTTCAAAGCAGATATTGTGGGATTTTCTGCCTTGATATTCTGGGTTACATAGCTGTGTGGAAGGCTGTTAGGAATTGTGGGAGCTGAAGTGCAAAACACCTGGAGGGCCAAAGTTTGCCCATGCCTGAACTAACTCCTCTCTATGGCTACAGAGCTGGATTATCGAATCCTAGAGTTGGAAGAGACCTCATGGGCCATCCAGTCCAACCCCCTACCAAGAAGCAGGAATATTGCATTCAAATCACTCCTCACAGATGGCCATCCAGCCTCTGTTTAAAAGCTTCCAAAGAAGGAGCCTCCACCACACTCCGGGGCAGAGAGTTCCACTGCTGAACAGCTCTCACAGTCAGGAAGTTCTTCCTCGTGTTCAGGTGGAATCTCCTTAATGGATTAAAACCTTTAGAGAGGCCTTTAAATACTTCAAAGACTTTGATGCCTTCATATATGTTTGTGCAGGCGTTTGAGTAATTCAGTGCAATCTGGTAATGGAATATAGGAATGGAACAATGGACGACGAACCTGGACTACGCTTGGATGATGAGAAGATTGGGTACAGTTGTTTTTCATAATAATTGTGCATTGTAATTACTTATTGGTAATTTATGGATAATGTGTTAAGTCAATTGTTATATGTTGTATGGAACCACTGCTGTTTCTACTGTTTTTACTGTTTGTGAACCGCTGTGAGTCGCCTTCGGGCTTGAGATACAGCGGTATATAAGCAAAGTAAATAAATAAATAAATAAATAAATATTTAATTCAATTTATAAACAATAGACAGACCTAACAAAACTCAAAATAAAATAGTGCTTATTTATATTTGAAACGTTTTCCTTTTCTTCTGGCTGCAAAGCCTTGGATGATTATTTCCGTCCATGGCTGGTCCGGCCCTGGGTGCCCAAATAGCCGGACCCTAGAGCAGACCAAGCCGGCTCTTTGTATCTAGGGCCCTATTTGTATCTATTGGGCAACCTCAGAAAATAGGGTTTTTCTCCCTTCTCTTCCCCCCCCCCCCCCCCCCCCCCAAACCGCTGACAGGGACAGACTGAGACACAAAACAGACCGGAGTCACTTGCCATCTCCGCGCAGCCCCGTCTCTCCCTGCGATGTTTACTTTCGTTTCCCCAGCGTGGGTTTTTCCCCCAATAGGGAGGCGGGGTCGAGCAAACAGCATGCTGGGAAATGGAGTTCGCTCACGCCGCGGCCAAAGTGCGCATGCGCAAGAAGCAACAAGGAACGAAAGGACTAATTGCGCATGCGCGAGAGAGGCATTACCTCATTAGACTCTTTGTAGCCTTGGGCCCTTCCACACAGCCCTATATCCCAAAATATCAAGGCAGGAAATCCCACATTACCCGAGTGGGGACTCAGGAGCCTTCCACACAGCCCTATGTCCCAGAATATCAAGGCAGGAAATCCCACCATATCTGTTTTGAACTGGATTATCTGAGTCCACACTCAGTTAATATGGGGTTTTCTGCCTTGATATTCTGGGCTGTGTGGAAGGTCCCTTTGTAGCCTTGTCTTCTTGCCCATCGTCTCCTTCAAGTGCATGTTGCAGAGGAAGAAGATAAATAGCCCAGTACATGCTTTACTCTCAGGGCTCTTCCATACAGCTATACAACCTAGAACATCAAGGCAGAAAATCCCACCATATCTGCTTTGAACTGGGTTTTGAGTCCACACTCAGATAATGTAGGATTTTCTGCCTTGATATTCTGGGATATAGGGCTGTGTGGAAGGGTCCTGGGTTTTCTGAGTCCACACTGCCATATATCCCAGTTCCAAAACAGAAAATGTGAGATTTTATTCAGCTGTGTGGAAGGAGCTTCAGTGTTTCTCACCTATGTTGTGATTGGGGACATCTATGCTGTAGACTTAATGCAGTTTGACACCACATGAGCTGCCAAGGCTCACTGCTATGAAATCCTGGAGCTGCACTTTGATGAGGCACGAACACTCTTTGGCAGAGAAGGCTGAGGACCTTGTAACAACCCCATGATTCCATAGCATTGAGCCATGGTGGGGTCAAACTGCATTAATTCTACTATGTAGATACACCTTAGGCAGCTAAATCTTGAAAACGTTCAGAATTACCATCAACTGAAATGATGGGGACAGTTCAAGATTTTTAATGAATAACATTTTGAACGATTCCTGGACAGCAAACAAAGTAAATTACTCCCTGTATTGCTATGATAGCTGAGCACAAAACTAAAAGAGTATTAAGGTTTTTCAAATGTTAAGAAAGGTATTTTAAAATCTTTTAGTCAGGATCAGTTTTAAATCTTGGACCTGGTGTACTGTGGCGATTTTACATACAAACATCCTTTTCTGAATTGAGGGTATCACATATGTGATAGTTTCTTAAATTAACTGAGATTTGTTAAAATTACATATCTGATGTCTGTTGCCTCAATTACATATCTGATGTCTGTAGGGCTTTGCTCAGGCAAGTTATCCTGGCTAAATTTACAATTCATTGGGATTATTAATTAATTAATTAATTAAAAACATTTATATTCCGCCCTTCTCACCCCGCAGGGGACTCAGGGCAGAGCACATATATACAGCAAACATTCAATGCCAGGACATAAACTACACGCAAACATTAAAATCATGTCCACTTTAACTGTTTAAAACCGTCTCAGGACACCATTTTATTATTGCCTCACTGCACTGCCCCAAAGGCCTGCTCTCACAGCCATGTCTTCAGCATCCTTCTAAGGACAGGAAGGAGGGGGGCTGATCTGATATTGCCAGGAAGGGAGTTCCATAGCTGGGGGGGGGGGGATCACTGAGAAGGCCCTCTCTTGTCCCTGCCAAGCACGCCTGTGACAGTGGCAGGACCAAGAGTAGGGCCTTCTCAAAAGATCTTAATCTTCACGGTGGTTCGTAAAGGGAGATGCGTTCAGACAGGTAGACTGGGCCGGGGCCATTTAGGGCTTTATAGACCAAAGCCAGCACTTTGAATTGTGCTGGTAGCAAACAGGCAGCCAGTGGAGCTGGCTTAACATGGGAGTTGTGTGCTCCCTGTATGCCACCATTAACCTGGCTGCCTCTCGTTGGACGATTTGAAGCTTCCGAACAGTCTTCAAAGGCAACCCCACATAAAGCACATTGCAGTAGTCTATCCTGGATGTAAACGAAAGCATGGACCACTATGGCCAAGTCTGACTTCCCAAGGTAAGTGCGCAGCTGGCACACAAGTTTAACTGTGCAAAAGCCCTGCTGGCCACCACCGCAACCTGAGGTTCCAGGCTCAGCAATGAGTCCATTATGATTTGTACATGATACTACAATGGGGAATGGACCTAACCCAGCTATATTCATATTTAAAGCAGAGAGAAGGAAACAATCCAATGTATTCTTGGACATCTAAAACAATGGTATATATGTACTATTTAAAATATTTTTTTGGTTGGAATATGAGCTCTTAGGCTCAAAAATAACCCTCAGTTGGGGAAATTCCACCATAAATATAAAGAAGTAAACTTCATAACCTGCAGAAACTGGTTATGAAACAACCCAGGGCAGTTTAACTACCATGTTACTTTGCATTTGTTTATTTTATATCCTATTATCTCATGTACTTTATTTTGATGTTATTTGTTTGTTGGTATTTTATTTTGCTATACTGTAATTTTGGGCTTGGCCTCATGTTAGCCACCCCGAGTCCCCTTTGGGGAGATGGTGGTGGGGTATAAATAAAGTTTATTATGATTATTATTATTACATCACCAAACAGGGAGGAGACACTGACTAGCAGTAAAGAGGAAAGAGGAAGCCCTTTTGGAAAACATGCATAGGAATGTTGGGGAAGGAAATCCCTCAGCTTAGCTCTGTCTCAAGTCTAGCTACTCACTGATGACTAGAAACTTGATTACACATAAAAACATGTGCAGTCCAGGGATGAAACCTAACAACAGTACTAGTAACAGTTGCAGACCACGTTATACCCAAGTGGTTTGTCAAGTGAAACAAATTAATGAGACTTGTGGTGAAACAGAAACCAACAGCTTGCTAAAAGGAAAAAACAGCATTTTATTTTGGAAATTCATCCTGAATATTAACGAGACAAGTTAAGGTCCAATTATCATGCATCTGCAGAATTCCTCTATTAGTCCCCCAAATGATATATCCAGATTAGTAGCAAGACAAAGTCTGGCTTTGAAAGGCCGTCAATGTTTGCCAACTTTCATCTATTTGGGGCCTATATTTTATTGCAGCTTTAATAGCAATCAGTGCTTGTCTACTAGTGATATCTTCTCCATAGTCTTGTGTTACTTTCACACTCACGATTATCTGATCAATCTGATGAACTTAAAAAGTTTGAATCCTGAGCTGCACAGAGGAAGACATTTGCAGAAGGTTTTGCCAGGCACTGTGTTAAGGCTTTTTAGGCAATTGAGCGTGCAATGATACAGAAACTGAAAATCTCTTTTCTATGCAAGCATTTTGTGCTAAACTGTGAATGGGCTATCTGAATGCAAAAGAGATACCAAGCTGTTAGCAACAGCTGCTCCTAGACTTAGTCTGTAACAACACAGTAATGGCTACAGAAGGCAGCTTCTACCAAAGCGGTAAGTGTGGACAGTGCTTCAGAGGTAAACCCTGTGCCCATGCTGATAGTTTTGAGGAGCAAAGCAAAATTAGAACCCTAAAGAAATGCCAAGCAACTTAACCTAGAAAGTGAGTGTGTATCTAACAGCAGGAATTTTAGATTAAACATGGTGATACATGTAAGGAGAAATGGAAGAGCTCCTATCAGTGTACCCACACTCGTTCCATTCTTCAGATCTGTATCAAGTTTAATTCCTTTTGCGTGCTGCATCAAACTATTTTTGAGGAAGACTATTAGACCCTAACTACTGAAGTAGCTTTGAGGAATAATGCTCTTTTCCTTCCCAAGAAATACCAGCTGATGGAATCAAAGCTATTGGCAGTTAGGCGGAACCTGAGAGGATTTTTTTTTTCTACTCATCTTCTTTGTATGCAATAATCACTCATTTGTTTTAGGCAGTTTGGCGCAGGATTCAGATCCAAGATGTTAATTGGGAAGCCAGTAGATGCGAATAACAAAGACCTGTCATTGGATAGGAATAAAGGGGCCACAGTGAGGGAATTTGCTTCACCACACATACATACTCAAGTGACGGGGTACTATGGGTTCGTCAATGAATAGGTGGCCATGCCTAAACTGTAATCAATACAATTGTGGCTTTATTTTCTGCACTAAAATGACTTGTATGTTTGTTGTCAGTGGAGCTTGAACCTGCAAATGGTTTGTTTTCAAACATTCAGTAGAAAGATCACACCCACTGCTTGCGTATCAGAAAGACAGCCCCTTTCTTTGTCACTCTCATTCCACAGTATTCACATCAAAACCATGTGGCATATTTATAAAAAGCTGCTTGTACAGTAGTATGTGTAGGTAATCAATCATCTGAGCTCCATGTTAAAATATCCATGTATCTATATACAGAAGACCCCCTCCCCCCCAAATCCATTGATTCAAGTATGGTTTAAATCTATATCCAAAGCACTGGAACTAATGGAACCAAGGTATTTATGTTTGAACAAGTCCCATCACTTTCAACAGGATTTAAGCTGCAATCCTCTGGGCACTGCTTGAGAGGAAGCTCATTCAACAAATTTGGGTTGACATCTGAGTAAGCCAGCACAAAACTGTATCTTCAGTCTGGTGGAATATAATAAAAAATCAATCAGCGACACTATCCAGAGCAATTTTCTGGGCTATGATACTGTATTACCTATGAAGCTCTTCACAAAATCAGAAAATGAGCCATGGCTTTCATGAGCTATAGATTCAACCTCCTCCTGGGACTCTCAAATGACATCATCTGTGTCATTCTCAAAATAAGCAATTTTGGCTCCCTTTGAAGCATATTTGATGTTTTCAACTTCCCCACCACCGTTACTAGCTTTCTGGAAGTGGATCACTATCATATCTTCCACACTTTCTTCATCTTCCTCTTCTACCTTGATTCCTGTTAACAAGATGGTCTTACTGGAACTCCCTGAGAATATCTGGAACAAAGAACACACCACATATTACATTCCATTTTTCAATTTTTGAAAGGAATGCTTAAATCAACAGGTCAAAGAAAACAACATTAAAAAAACAATGTTGTTGAACCTTACAGGTTATACTTATGAATCTTAATTTTATAATGGGTAAATTAGTGGGCATCTTCAAATGAACGTTTACTATATATATTATAAATTTGAAGATGCCCACTAATATATATATATATATATATATATATATATATATATATATATAAATTAATTAGTGGGCATCTTCAAATTTATAATGGGTAAATTAGTGGGCATCTTCAAATGAACGTTTACTATATATATATATATATATATATATATATATATATATGAAAAATACCTAGAACGATGATAGGGGTGAGAGTCTGACAATTATCAAAACTGAATCATGACTAATGCATAAATTCATTGATTCAATTGATCTACTCTAGTTGGGAATAAGCATTGTGATATGCACTGTAATTCATTCTTCCCTGTTTTGATCCTGATGAAAATTCCCCCCATGAATCTATCTGGATTGGGGAAAAAGTTTCAACAGGTGCTAAAGGCTTTCCCTCTAAATCCATGTGTCTAATTTCAAAATAAGCGCTTTAGCACTCTGTTGGGCTGTCAATGAACCAAAAATGTCGTTATATTAAGCATATGTTAAAAGCACAGATTAAAAGGTCTGAAACCCAAATGTTATAAGGGAATTCCACTCCAGTCAAACAAAATCATAACAAGAACAAGAATTGAGGCCAGTGATTCTTGGCTGAATAGATTTAGACTTTATTATAGACACTTGATATGTTGAGTGTCTCAATTCTACCATTTTCCTATTGAACAAGATGGGAATAATGAGACCCTTCAGATGTCGTTAGATTACAAATGCAAGTAGCTCTAGGCAGCTTAATGGTAAGGAATGCTGGGAATTACAGTCCAGTATTATCTGAAGGGATATCATGGATCTTTCTACTCAAAAGCCACTTCTAGCTCTCAAGGCTTGTGACGAAAAACCCATTGCTCTCTGTAAAGGTTGAGAAATAACAGGTAGGGGAAAATTAAGCTTAACATCTATCACACTTACTGATCTAAGTCTGGTTCAGACTATGCTCAGGGGCACCATACCTATGCTTGACTGCAGATCTGAAATAGACGAACACTTCTCCAGTTAGCCCATCATGTAGTATTGGAGTGTTTTTTTACCTGAAATTGTTCCAGGTGATTTTGTGTAATAGGGGAAACCATGACTGGATGAGTCCATTGACTGGTATAGAAGGGAATGTATTGCCCACAACGTGCAATATCATTAGCAGCTAAAGTAAAAATAGAAGGATACATTTTTGAGAAATACAGCTTATTCAAGAACAAGGAATGCCTGTTCTAAGACAATCAAAGTGAAAACTAGACATGTCTGGGTAACTGAGTCAGAAGCAAGCCTCCCTAGGTCTAATGACATTCCCCTGCCAAGCATCACCCTATAAGTCTGCAGTGTTAATATCAGTGACTTTTCCCTAATATGACCCAAAATGCAGGCTGCAAAAATGGAAGCACCTGGTACCAAGGAGAAAGCCTATGGATCAAGTGAAGCTCTCTTTTGGGTCATGGTAACACAGTAGCTCTGGCCCTTTCTCAAAGACTGGACAACGCAACTGGTAATGAAATGCGGAGGACTTATGGTTTTTTATTATGTTTATTGGTGTTATTTGTAATGAATTTTATCCATGTTAAATGTTTTGAATGTTTAAATTATTTTTGTACTGCTGTGGGCATCGTATTGTGCCACTTTGTAAACCGGCATGAGTTGCCCTCGGGCTGAGAATGGCGGCATAGAAGCATAGTAAATAAATTAATAAATAACTAGGGACACTGAAAATACCACTGAGTCAAACACTTTAGAAGTGGTAACCCACTGTGTTCATCACATTAGCTTGAGTTCAAGTGTAGGGTAGAGCATTTTTATGTGTCTAAAGCATTGGGAACAGTTTTTCTTTTCATACATTTCAGGAACTATTTGGGAAGTGGGTTTTTTGTAATGATACAGATGTGGATTGGCAAAATGGCCAGTTCTGTAATGTGATGGCATTTGTTTCTCTAAGGTTTAGAATGATTTTTTCCCCCAATTTGTGGGAGGGGAAACTGTTGGAGGAGCCAACACACCCTTGTTATGGAAAGTTCAGCTATTACCTTTTGCTCACTGTGCTTGTACTTTGTCAAAACAATTTCTTTTTTTTAAATAGCCTTTCTGGGTCCTTTCTTTTTTCCTTCCATGATATGTCTGTGCCTTGGGTTGCATGGAAAAGCCAAGAGGGAAAGAAGGATGACTGCATTGCCGCTTTTGCTCCCTCCCTCCTTACTTTTGCTCCTTCCCTCCTTGCTTCCTTCCCCAGTGGGCAGCCAAGAGAAAGAGAAAGGGAGGGAAGGATGACATCCAAGAGAGAGAGAGAGAGTCTGATAGCTCAGGAAATTGAAGACATGTAACAGCTGACATTTCGAAGAGATGAAGGAAGGAAAATCATCCATTTCATTTCTAAACGGAGTATGACTGAGGACTACTATAAACATACTCTACTAAACACATCCCTGCTTCAATGTGATGAAGTGGTAGTTTTCTAAGGAAACTAGGTTTCTTCCAAACTATCTAAAGCAGTGGTCCCCAGGAGATGTTTCGTCCTACAATTCCCAGAAATCCCAGCCAGTTTACCAGCTGTTAAGATTTCTGGGAGTTGAAGGCCAAAATATCTGGGGACCCACAGTTTGAAAACCACTGATCTAAAGCCAAGAGGTCAAATTATAACCTAACTCAAAATCAAAAGAATATTACTGTACAAACAATGCAGTACAAAGGAGAGGCAAATAAAAGTTAGCTTTAGGATTTACCTAGAGGTTGCGCAAATGTAACGAAAGCCATCCGTGACTGTGGGTTATACATCACCTTCTGCACTCCTCCACCCAATTTAGTTTTGCAAAAATGCAGTTCCAGCTTGTCTTTCATCCATTCCTTGGGGATATCTAGGTCTGGGATGTTAGAAACTTTAAGCGTGCAGAGAGAGATCTTAGAATGGAGCTGGAAAAACAATACACATCCAGTGCAAAATTACACATGTGAAATAGAAACCAGAGGTTCAGCCCTGTTACTCTATAAGAGGTAAAAACCAAAATCTCTTGGTCATATAGTATGTGCTTTCATCAGCAACAACGTATTTCCATCATCTCTACAATTGACAGCAAAAAAAAAACTACAGAAAGATAATACATAATGTGATTATCAGAGATTAAATAATTCCCCACATTTCAATGTAGGATGGTTGTGTGAGAGCATGGGCTGAAGCATTATGAAAGAGAGATAGACAGTAAAAGGATGATAACAATGGCTGCTATGTGTAATGTACCTTGTACCATGTGGATACCTGTAGTCACATGAGTCCAGCAACACTTGATGCTGTAATAGAAATCTTAATTGAAAGGAACAGCAGTGTGCTGAACTGTGTGACATGATGTGCACAAGCAATGTCCATAATGACCTGAGGAAGCACTGAAAAGTTACCTTTTAGACCATGAATCCCACTATTCTCTACCAGCTTGGACAGTAATCGGGTTAGCTGGTGAATTCTGAAAGCTGGAAGCCAAAGCAGGAACATTTCCAAAGACTAGATCAGCTAATATATGGCCAGGCTCTTTGTTCATAAAAGTCTAAAACTGTTTATGAAAAATCCTTATCTGAACTAAAGTTAGAATCCAGTGAGTTACCTGACACTGTAGGAACAAAACATCTCACCACAGTCATCAGGTAAAAGAAAACGTCTTATTTATTAAGGAAAAGGGGGTAAACTCGTGTTATTTGAATGTAACTTCCTAGTGGGAGTTCACTAGGATTCAACTCTACTTAAGGATAGTTTATTTGAGTGTAACTCACTAGAAATGTCAGTATTTGACAGCAGGGAATGGAAAATTCTTTCCTTTCTTTCATGGGCCATGCAGCATAACATAAGGTACCTTACCATCCAACTAGAAAGGTGTGCATAAGATTATAGCTACTTACAAAATGATATTTACAGCCACTAATGAATATACAGAGTGATAATGTCACTGTGGTATACTTTAAAAAGCTTTTATGATAATTTGTTTACCTCAAATGTTAGTCCTTTTTCTAGCGTTGCAGGTATAGCTCGCAGGAGTATCTCATCATTTTCCAGCTTCACAGTGTGACAATGTTTTGTAATCAGTCCATGGGCAACTGAAGGATAACATGTAAATACATTTCCATAAGGATGGTTTAAAAATGCCAATGAGTCATATGGTCACATAATTAAAAATGATGAGGAACTTACATCGCCATGATCTATGACACTGGTATATAAGGGAAGATCTGACATGTACTTCCCTATTTCCAAAAGTTGCTATTTGTCACCTTACACATTATACCACTGCAGCCCATGCTGCTACTGCAAATGTCAAGAGCATGAGGGAGAAAGAGTACATAAGAAAACCGTATCGGTATGTGCAAGTATACGATTGACCTTCTGAATCCATGGGATGCAGAGCTGCAATTTCCAGTGCTCACATATTCTTGCACCCCATATTAGTAAATGGTGTCAATGTGAATGCAGACACACTGAGAAGTGAGTTCACATCAACATTTCACAGTACGGGGTGTGATAATCTGTACTTGTTCCTATCTGCAGCAGATCCCAGAACTTAACTCCCAAGGACACACTGGCCACTGTATAGGTATGTCCCCTCTCCTTCAAATCTAAGTTTGAAGTAGGCTACTGTCTGTTGGTGAAGAGCAGGTTATTTCACCTATACCATTAAATCAGTGGTTCCCAATTTTTGGTCCTCCAAGTGTTTTGGACTTCAGCTCCCATGATTCCTTTTTTTTTTTGAAGTATTTTTATTGTTTTATCAGTTATTACATTTGTTATACATTTGTTTATAGCAGCTACATATTATTCAACACACTCTTTAACATATAGTCTTATTATTCTGCTTAAGCATTTTCCCCCCTTTTTCCCACCACTGTGCTCCCCTCCCCCCATCTCAAGCCACAACTTTTACATATCATCTGTCCAAAATCTCATTTCTTCTTGTGGCGGTAACTTTCCTTCTTTATTTTTTAAACCATTTACAACAAATTTTCCCCATACAACATCAAAATCACTTTGTTTCCATATACCTTTTTTAACTTTTAATATACACGTAAGCTTATCATTTATTGCCAGTTTCCATGCTTCCTTGTACTACTCCTCTCTTTGTATATTTATTTCTTTTTTCCAGTTCCTTGCTATGAGCAGTCTTGCTATTGTTAATAAGTTTGTTATCGATTCTTTATCGTCCTTTTTCAGTTGTTTATTGTTGTTGTTCATTCGTTCAGTCGTCTCCGACTCTTCGTGACCTCATGGACCAGCCCACAACAGAGCTCCCTGTCGGCCGTCAACACCCCCAGCTCCTTCAAGGTCAGTCCAGTCACTTCAAGGATGCCATCCATCCATCTTGCCCTTGGTCGGCCCCTCTTCCTTTTGCCTTCCACTTTCTCCAGCATCATTGTCTTCTCTAAGCTTTGCTGTTTCCTCATGATGTGGCCAAAAGACTTCAACTTTGTCTCTAGTATCCTTCCCTCCAATGAGCAGCCGGGCTTTATTTCCTGGAGGATGGACTGGTTGGATCTTCTCGCAGTCCAAGGCACTCTCAGAACTTTCCTCCAACACCACAGCTCAAAAGCATCGATCTTCTTTCGCTCAGCCTTCCCTAAGGTCCAGCTCTCACATCCGTAGGTTACTACAGGGAATACCATGGCTTTGACTAGGCGGATCTTTGTTGCCAGTCTGATGTCTCTACTCTTTACTATTTTATCGAGACTGGACATTGCTCTCCTCCCAAGAAGTAAGCATCTTCTGACTTCCTGGCTGCAGTCTGCTTCTGCAGTAATCTTTGCTCCTAGAAATACAAAGTCTGTCACAGCCTCCACAGTTTCTCCCTCTATTTGCCAGTTATCAATCATTCTTGTTGCCATAATCTTGGTTTTTTTTATGTTTAACTGCAACCTAGCTTTTTCGCTTTCTTCTTTCACCTTGATTAGAAGGCTCCTCAGCTCCTCCTCGCTTTCGGCCATCAGAGTGGTGTCATCTGCATATCCTAGGTTGTTAATGTTTCTTCCAGCAATTTTCACCCCAGCTTTGCATTCCTCAAGCCCCGCACATCGCATGATGTGTTCTGCATACAAGTTAAAAAAGTTGGGTGAGAGGATGCAGCCTTGCCGTACGCCTTTCCCAATCTTGAACCAGTCTGTTGTTCCGTGGTCAGTTCTGACTGTTGCTACTTGGTCCTTGTACAGATTCCTCAGGAGAGAGACAAGGTGACTTGGGATGCCCATCCCACTAAGAACTTGCCACAATTTATTATGATCCACACAGTCAAAGGTTTTAGAATAGTCAATGAAGCAGAAGTAGATGTTTTTCTGAAACTCCCTGCCTTTCTCTTATCCAGCGGATATTGGCAATTTGGTCTCTCGTTCCTCTCCCTTTTCTAAACCCAGCTTGAACATCTGGCAGCTCTTGCTCCATGTATTGCTGGAGTCTTCCTTGCAGGATCGTGAGCATTACCTTACTGGCATGAGAAATAAGGGCCACTGTACGGAAGTTTGAGCAGTCTTTCGCATTTCCCTTTTTTGGTATGGGGATATAAGTTGATTTTTTCCAGTCTGATGGCCATTCTTGTGTTTTCCATATTTGCTGGCAAATGGCATGCATCACCTTGACAGCATCATCTTTTAAGATTTTAAACAGTTCAGCTGGGATCCCGTCGTCTCCTGCTGCCTTGTTGTTAGCAATGCTTCTTAAGGCCCATTCAACCTCACTCCTCAGGATGTCTGGTTCTAATTCATTCACCACACCGTGAAAACTATCCTCAATATTATTATCCTTCCTATACAGATCTTCTGTATAGTCTCGCCACCTTCTCTTGATCTCTTCAGCTTCTGTTAGGTCCCTGCCATCTTTGTTTCTTATCATACCAATTTGTTTCTTATCATACATGATAAGAATTTGTTTCTTATCATACATGAGTCTACACTGACCATATACTGATGTTCCAAACTGCATTATATGGCAGTGTATAGATCATGGAATAATGTATACAAAATTCATGTAAAAATGAAATATTTTCAAATGTGAGACAGGACAAAAATATTATTTACTGTCTAAACACATTAAAACCAAGCTAGGTAGCAGCACATGTTGCAAGTCAAAGGCAATCCATGGAAGAAGCAGCCCAGAAGGAGATAAGAAACTTGGAAATAGGGTGAAATCATATTGGAGACTTTAAAAGTGTAAACTTTCTTACGAAAGGAGTTAGCACTTTCCATCTGAACCATCTGAAGGCATATTTGGTTGTGCATTCAGTTGCTCCATATTCATTTGTGCACTCAGATACATTTATATTAATGCCCACTGCATTGCCATTTGACCAAGCATTCAGCAGCACAATCAATGTGCATATTCCCAAATGGCGATATACGTAGCAATTGAAATATAAGATCTTGGATTATATCTCTACCTACAGACACATCTACACTGTAGAATAAATGCAGTTTGACTCCATTTTAACAGGACTCAGTGCTATGGAATTTGGGGAGTTGTAGTTGGGGAGAGAAGGCTAAAGACCTTGGAAAATGACAGTACCCGGGATTCTATAGCATTGAACCCTGGCAGCAGAAGTGGTGTCAAACTGCATTTGTTCTACAGTGTAGATGCACAACGTACCTATGGAAATGTCTGGGTTTATAGAATTAAGAACATAATAAATGAGTGAGCCAGCATGGAAGACTGGGAGATGCTCTGACTTCTCAGGAAACCATTAAAGGATCAGCCTCCTCTGCAAACGAAATACAAAATGGGTGTTTCCCAAAGGTTCTCAGACACTCTTTTAGATAACACTGGAAGCATCATCACCATGTTTTAGCTTACGTGGGCCATTAACAAGACTTGAACATAATCAATTTATTGTGCATTTTCTATTCTTTAAAAGACCAATTCTAGGCTTAAATTGGCCAGCTACCTCTCTGAGGTGAAGATGATAATGATGGTGATGATGACGACAACAACAAGAACAACAAGAACAAGAACAACAACTTTATTTTGTACCCTGCCTCCATCTCCCTGAAGGGACTTGAGTTGGCTTACATATGGCACAAAATGCCTCCAGCCACCCCATCCATCTCCAAGAGGAGATTTTGGAATATTGTGTCCAATTCTGGGCACCACAATTGCAGAGAGATATTGACAAGCTGGAATGTGTCCAGAGGA